GATATATGATTTTTTTTTGGCAAAATCACGATCACAATTTTATCACGATGTTTTTCATACTGTTTAGACAAATTTGTAAGTTGCTGACCAGTTCAACCAAACTTATTTCCCTGTATAATGTTTTTAAATGCATAAAAACTGCGCAGACAAGTTTAATCTATTTGAAAAACATCTTTGTAGGAGGTCTGGAGGTCTCACCCAGAACATCTTTAGCAACAGAAATGTCTTTCCCTGAATTTGATCAATATTTATGCACAATTTGAAGGTTTTCCTCACCTCAAGGTTTTCCTCACTAAATTATGATTTAGTTATGTGTCTTCTTTTTATGTTCATCAGGAACATTTTCATGCAGTGATTCATTCATTTAAAAACATGTAGACTTCAAGTTCTTGTGTTTCTGTTCTATTTTAGCCCTGCAGAGTTCCTCCAGCTGTAGCTTCATACAGGCTCTGCAGCCTTTGTTTTTTTTTATGACATCATTGGACTAACTTTAGTTTAGTTTATATATAATCAAACATAATACAGAATGTGTTCATTCTGTGACACATGATCAAAGTAAGTTTTATTGACAGAAGAGTTTAATTCACAGAGGGGGCAGGACATTGTTGATTGACAGACAGACAGTCACCATGGTTACTCACTCTCACCTGCCTGCTGCTTTGTAACATTGTTTAGCCTAATCCCTATAAATTCAGTTATCACAACAGGTGAGTTTTGGATGGAGAGGATGATAGTAACTTTGAAAAACCGAGAGAGAGCAGAAAACACCGACAGCAACATTTTTATCTCCCCTGACTGTCTGAGCTCCTCTCTGTCTGTCTCTGACTGTTAACATCTCTCTGTGTCGCTATCTGAGATGCAGACTAATCTTAACTGTGCACACTATGCAGATAAGTTAACTGTTGCTCACAGCGTGTCGATTTGGAAAAATATCAGAACAGTTGCAGATAACCGAGATGGAGTTGTTTTTGCGGACTTTACTTTTAAGTTTTGTTTTCACCGCTGCGGAGCAAATAAGGACAGGGGGAGCTGCATCTGTGAAAGAGCATAAACTGCAGCATGATAGAATAAACACATTAGTCCGGTTCTAGGATCTCTCTGCTTTGGCAGATTGTCAGCAAGTTAAAATCCTTCACGATATAAGATCGTTATATCGCCCACCACTACTTGAAGGTGCGCATCGCTGTTGCCTAGCAACTATTGTTTATAACGCTTGAGCCAAGGAGGAAAGAAAGCTTACCCGCCTAAAACCATATAAAAAGAATAGGAGACATACATTTGAATCAATCAACATTGAAAAGGCAGAATAGAGTAAATTAGGATCTGATTTAGAACAGAATAGAACGAAATGTCAGGAAGGAGGAGGATTGCTGCCCCAGAGATTGCGACCTTTCCAGTCATGATAAAATGCCGGTCGTTCTAGTGTTAAGTCTTACAGTTAAATTACTATTTTATTTGCAAAGTTGCAGAAATTAATATTTGTAGGATGCAGATTGCTTACTGTGTCTCTATCTTATATTTAGTTTATTTTTTCTTTATCTCCCTTTATAATGTTCTTGGAGACATCTAATAAATTGGTTGGCTTCTTTGTTGGTCATTACTTGGCAGATTTAGGAGGGAGTGCAGCAGCACAATGTCTTTTTTTTGCGCCTCATTGGGTGCATGGAGATCAGACTGAAGCAAGTCGAAATGTGAGAAAAAGAAAGGCTGTGAATCCATGCCAGGGGCCCCCAGTGAGCTTTTGTCAAATCTGTGTGTGATGGGCAGGTTATTAGCACTGCTGGAATGTTACAAGAACTGTACATAATAAAGGTTTAAGGAACTTGTACTACAGTTGAGTATTTCCATTTTTAGCAGAATTATATATAAAATAAGATCGGAAAAATGCTTTTTTCTCCACTACTTTAATATGACAGCTGGAAATAAATACTGCACTTTTGGGGGTTAAAATACATTAAATAAAAAAGTACAGGGTTCTGAATGTTATCTGCGTCAAACCTTTTTGGGTAATAACAAACAACAGTTTTTAGTTGAGACCATAGACTATTAGAGTATATACACTATGGTTGAGACACAAAGTCACATCTCTTTGAGTTTTCAGCAGGTCCACCAAAGAGATGACAGCCCTCTAAACTCTCTGATGATTCATTTGAAACAACTGACTGAGATCTAGTGATAAGAACTCTAAAATGTTTCATAATATAGTAAATACTTAGTGTAAAGTCATGATTCAACTTCTGTGTTTCAGACTTTTCTTTTTCCGCGTTAATCAACCCACAACCTCTCAGATATGTCTTGTGACCCATTGCAGTTTAATATTCAGCACAATAAGAAATTGCACTTTTTAATTTTAAGTACATTATTAATACTTACTTTAAACGTTTTTTTAAAAATTATTATTATGGGTTTTTTTGTAGAAAAAAAAGGAGTACTCTGTATTTTAATATTTGTCATTCTTTATCCACTGCTGGTATTCCAAAGGTTTTTTTTCTATTCCATCTGCTGTGATTATTTTTTTCTTCGGCTTCCTGGAACTTAAGCTTTAGCTTGACAGAAAACGTAGAACGGAGCTTATACTGGATACCTTTCAACCATTGTAACAACAGAGAAATTAAACTGCAGGGGCTTTTTTCCAAATCTCCATAGTGACTGACAAAACCCTTGGAAAGCATCCAGAATGGTCAGTTTGTAAAGAAACTCGCTTTCACTCTCACTCTCTTTGTCTCCTTCTCTGTGCATGAGTGTGTATGCAGAAAAGGATTGAGGGGAGGGTCCAAAGAGGAAAAAACTCAAAAGCAATCGCCTCTTATTTGCATTAAATAACACTGCGTTATTTGTCCAACATACAGAATTAAAATCTAAACTGACCGGCTGTCATGTTGTTATAGTTATCAATGATAATACCCCCTGGTCACTCATTATTTGAGCCTGTCTGACACTGACCATCACATCACAAGTGTCACTCCCATATGCTTGGCTGCATCAGCAGTCAACACCCGCACTGACTGACAGCTGCAGATGACACTTTCTCTCTCTACGCTCTGTGTTCACCTGCCTGCAATGAGTGAAAAATATTGAGACAAATCCAACAAGCATGAAATAAAGGAAAACTCAATATAGAATATCTAATAATACTTTGCCAAACAGCTTTGTCTTACAAATCAGAAATCAGCTTTTGACAGCTTGACATGATAATATAAGGCTTTGACTGTGAACTGGGCTGGACTCTGTTGTTCCAAATTTAAACAGAATATTTTCAGCCTAAGGCTCATTCACATGCTTCTGCTGGTTAATAACTTTACAAAAGTAAAATGTCACCAAAGTCCACAGGCTAGGCAATGGTTATAAATGGGAACTATTATCTCCAGTTTGTATTTGACCCCTATAACTTAATTTCTATGTTATTACAAACATCTACAGTAACTATAAAGTTATGACTGGGCGTAAGTGGTGAACACACTCTACAGCCATAAATCCCCAGGAGTCATTATATAAACAAGCACTCAAAACATCAGACAAAAAAAACCATTTAGTTTTCATCATTGTCATTTACTAAAGACGTACAGTCTGTTTAGTTGGGGAAACCTTATAGGATACAAATATATCTGCCTAGTTTATGGGATTTCTCATGGCTTTGCTCCCCCTCCTCTGACTGGCTTTATTAACTTCAAAACTGCCACAAACAGGACTACTAGAGGCGCAGCTAGGAGGGACTGCACAATACCACTCAGGAAAACCACTTTCAGCCAGAGTGTCTTTTCCTTCAGAGCATCACATCAGTGTAATTTGCAATCAATTAGAGAGTCAACTTCCTATCATTCACTTAGGTATAATGTTAAGAAATGGTTTATTGAGAGCCATTGCCAACAATGTTAACACTGATGCCCCTGTAACTGCATCATGTCCTGTGTGGGATATTATCTCTTCAGGTTACTCAAATGGTTTCTATCTGTATTTTTATTTTACTAGGCTACTGAACATATGCTGATGTGTTATATTTAATTGTAAAATGCCGAAGAACATCTGGCAAAGGGACTGCCGATTTACATGAGACTTTCAGTTAAACCAGGTAGCCAATATGCAATAGTGATGGTCATGTTTTAAAACATTTAATTTTCTTCACCAAACTTTGTCCCACAAATACAATTGGACCTTTTTATAGGCTTTATTACAAACTGCAATTGCATAAAATATTCCTGGGGCCATTTGTATGTCCACCTGGTGAATTTATGTCAATTTATTTTAGACTGTGTTTTATTCCTGACGGGCTTGCAGTAAACATCCGGGTCACATTAACAGCGTCTCGTTTGAAAGTTAGTCAAACCAAACGAACCAAATCTAAGGTGTTTAGAAAAGCCCAGTAGGTTGATAAGAAACATTTACTGTTGTTCTGGAGGTATTTCCACATTCATCAAAATATCTTCTTAGAATAGGCTATCTGCAAAAACTATTCCGTCCAATGAATGAGAATTGGAGGGTTCTCTGTGAGGCTAGCTGCCTTGCACCTGTCATAAACCGAGGTAAGAAAAAAATATTGGCAGTGGTAACGTCCCCTGCTTTAATTTTGTTTAACAAAGCAATGAATGGCGAGACAGTTTTAAGGTTAGACTACCCATGTAGCCTTTGACATATTTCTGCTGGTTCAAATTTCTGAAGTGTTGTATAGCCTATTCATTTTATGATGCAAATAACTAAACTTAGTTGAAGTAGAAACATCGCCTGTCTGTGTAGAATGTTAAATAAAAAGCTTAATTGAATATCTTCCCTGCTTACAGTAGGCTATGCAAAGGCTACATTAATGGACTGGTGGTTTAACTGCTATACACTCCTCTGGCTTTCTGGTGTTTGGCAAATAGCAGACTGTTCATTGTAGTGTTGGAGAAAACAGCTGCTTGCTGAGGCTGAAAATTATACTCAGAGAGAGGAAAGTGATTTGAAACACTAACTTCTGTTGAAAATCTAAATCACTTACTGAATCCCATTGTTGCCTTTGCAGATAGAGTCATCTGTCTGATGTATTGCATTTTATTGATTGAGAAGCTGATGACATGTATTACTTGTAAGCATAGATAATACAAATATGTACAGATAGGAGCATTTACATAAAATAAACATTGCTATATTCAAACATAAATAAGAGGCACAACTCTTTACAATTGCTGCACTTGTCTTTCGGTTTGGAAGAGCAGCTGCAAGACAAGTTTTTTTTCATGATTATTTGACCAAACACAAAACAAACATAAAAATTAAAAATACTTATTTACATGACTATCTTTTTATGTAAATGTTTCTGTGAAAAAGAATGCCTTTCGCTGCTATAGTATGGGGCAATATTGGCCACATCTCAGACGCAGTGCGTCGATGGAGTCCTGTGCCTGTACTGCTCTCCCTCCTCCACCAGATGTCCTTCTTGCCATTGTCTGAGAGGAGGCCTCCCCTTCTGGATGCACTTTTCTGTCTGGTATGTTAAACTCAACTGATGCAAATGAAGACAGACTACCGTTTTTATTTGCCCAGGTTTGAGAAGTATTGATGGTGGGTGCCACCCGGACACCTCTCCCCTTAGCACTGCTTGCATCTTTCTTCCCACTTTTAAAACTAGAATCATCCAAAAAGGGGTCGGAATCACTTCCATGTGGCATGTTATAATAGGTGCACTTTGGGGTGTTAGGCTTGGCCATCTCTTCAAGCTCAGAAGAGGATAACGCTGCAAGAAGGTTTTGCTGGGTTTTATAAGGAGGCGGGGAGTCCTCGCTAGACCTTGAATGACTTGTATCTATAGATGTGCTGTCTACATTATTATACATTCCCTGGGACACTGGAGGAGAAGTTCTAATGAGGTGATTCTCCTTAAGCAGCCATCTACCTTGGTCAATCAAAACCCCGTCCTTTGAGTCCTTCTCTGAGGGGAAAGAAGAGCACTGTGTGGCCTCTGTGGCAGCTTCCGTTTCTGCCTTTTGTGAGCTTCCAGCACTGAAATAAGACAGATCCTCCTTTGAGGCTTTAGTGCCTGAGTCAAAAGAAGAGAAACTCCCTCCACTTTTATTGTGGGAACTTTGCAAGACTTTTGAATCACTTGCAACAGACAGTTTTGAGGTACGGATATCTGTTTTGCGTCTGCACACTGGAAACTGTCTCTGTGATCCCTCTTCTCCACTCTCTGAGACAATATCTACAGACTCTTGAGTTTGGTATCCACCGCTCTCTGAGGTTTCTGGCCTGTAATCAGACAAATCTGAGCACTGTGGGCTTGGCAGACACTTCACACCGTATGAACTATCCTCTCTCCTTTTTAGTTTTGATGTTTGATTCGTTTTTACAACTCGAGAGTTATCTGGCTCAATCCTGATTTTCCCATGAGCGTCATATGTAAATATAAGGGAAGCAGACTGAAGGGCAGAGTTAACAAAGTCAAGTAATTCCTGTGATATCTCAACTGGATGTGGTTGACTGCTGTTTAGTTCCTCTTGCTGTTCCCCGCCTTCGTCTGTTTCGAGTTCATCGACTGTGTCTGTTCCATCCCCCTTGTCATCTGCACACTGAATCTCAGAGGAATAATTACTAAGTGATTCAGGGTTGTGTTCCCCTACCTTTGTATCTTCCTCACAGCTACTCTGCTGCTGCAGATACAGAGCCTCCTCAAGTAGATTTTTACTTTCTGCATCACTTAGATCTTCTTCCTCTGCCTCTACATCCGACTCTTGCTTTTCTTCATCCATCTCTATCCCCTCTACAACTTCAGCCTCTACAACTGATTCTTCTTCAAGAGTATTTTCTGCTTTCTCCAGGTTTTTCCAGCACTCCTCTCCCTCAGAATACTTTTCGTTCTCCTTAAAATTCCCTAAAGTTTCTTCTTCTTCCTCTTCTTTCCCTTCTTCCTCATCTTCCTCTTCATGTATTTCCTCATCCTCCTCCCTCTCTTCAATGACGTCATCTTCAGTAATATTTTCTACCTCATCTTCAAAATCTTTCTCCTTGATAATTTTCCTCATTCCCTCTTCCTCGTCCTTTTCCCTAATGCCTACCTCTAAAACCTCATTACAATCATCTGATTCTTCATCCTCCTCTTCTTCCTTCACTTCTACAATATTTTCTACTTCCTCCTCCTCCTCCTCGTCCTCTGTCTCATCATCAGCCTCTTCCTCAACACTTTCTTCCTCCCCTGTCTCCTCATAATCATCATCTTCTTTATCTTCCTCCTCTGTCTCTTTATCAACCTCTTCCTCAACATTTTCTTCCTCCTCTGTCTCTTTATCAACCTCTTCCTCAACATTTTCTTCCTCCTCTGTCTCTTTATCAACCTCTTCCTCAACATTTTCTTCCTCCTCTGTGTGTTTATCAACCTCTTCCTCAACATTTTCTTCCTCCTCTGTGTGTTTATCAACCTCTTCCTCAGCATTTTCTTCCTTCCCTGTCTCCTTATCAACCACATCCACCACTTTTACTTTCTCTTCTATATCCTTCTCAATGTCAGTCTCCTCATTTTCTTCCTCCATTGACTCCCTGTCAAGCTCATAATCAACATTTTCTACCTTGTCTGTCTCCTCATCACCTTCATCCTCAACATATTCTTCTTCCTCCACCTCCTCATCAACCTCATCAACCCGTCTTACTTCCACTTTTATATCCTTCTCGACCTCAGTCTCCTCATTTCCTTCCTCCTCTGTATCATCCTCCTCAGCCTCATCCTCCTCATTGTCGTCCTCCTCTGTCCCCCCGTCAACCTCAATATCATAATTTTCCTCCTTCTCCATCTCCTCATCATCCTCTCTTTCATCTGTCTCTTCAACACTAATGCAATCTCCTGATTCTTGGTCTTCTTCATTTATTAATCCATCCTCCATCACCTCAACCACTTCTGTCTCTATTCCTAACAAACCTCCTTCTTCCTCCTCATCTTCTGACATCTCTTCCTCTGTCCCTTCCTCACCTTTCACAACAGACTCCTCCTCCTCTTCACTGCCCTCTTCTGCTTCCCCTCCATCCTGCCCCTTGTCATGATGTTTTTTTTCTACCTCTTCCTCACTTTCCATTTCTCCAGCCTCACTCTCCGCACCCTCCTCGTCCTCATCTGTTTCTTTTGTAACCTCATCTTCTCCGTCTTTCAACTCCTCCCTGTTGTCTCCCTCATCTTCTTGTTCTTCAAATTCATTTTCTGTTTCTTTGTCATTTACCAGATCATCTCGCTCTGTCTGTGAAATGTCTGACTCTTTTACACTGGTATCTGTTTTCTGAACTTCAGGAAGTTCTTTCTCTGATGCTGTCACCACTGTTGTACTATCATGCTCTGGTGATTGTTCTGTTTCATAATTTTGTTCTTCAACAAATTTCTCTACATCTTCCTCTGAGTCTGAGTGGTTTCTTTCAGTTTCTATGAAGGTGCTCTCCTCTACAGGGTAAAAAAATCTAGAGTGTTGGATTGTTGAACATATCTCTGCTCTTAACTCTTGCGGCATATTCATTTCCTCCATCAGCTCATCGATACCTAAATGATGTTCTTCAAATACATCACCACCTTCTGAGAAAACATCTAGGGCAAATTCTGTTTCTGAAACTCTGGGAGACAGCGGCTCACTTTCAAGCCTTTCCCTCAGAATCTGAAAGTCCTTCCAGCGTGCTCTGAGCTGAGAAGATGCTCTGCTTTGCAGATCCGTCAAACTTGCCCTTAGCTCTTCTGTGTCCTCAATAGCAGAAATTTTCTGAAGGGACTGCATCATGAGCATGGCCTCAGGGTCACTTCTTGATTGGTCTCCAACCCCCTCTTCAGATTCGTTTAGGTTATCTCGCAAAGTCATAACTGATAAGAATGACAGGAAGGCTTTACACGAGGAGCCAAACACTGAAGCTACTTGTGTTGGAAAATCTGGAAGACTCATGGACTTCTCAAGATTGGATGTTGTGTTTGTCTCAGACACCCCTCTGATGCACTGAATAGAAGAATAAATCTGATTTAGGACAGGTTTTAGCTTTGCATGGGGACTCAAAAAGTTTGATGATGATGCTTCATTGTCAGCTGGACCAATGGCCTCTACAGATTTGTGCGATCTCATTACGGTCTCCATTTTTGCAGAGTCGACTCTGACACTCGGCATGGAAACGCATAAACCTCTCACATACTGTTCATTATGCAGAAGAGTTGGATTTGCATGACACTGTGGTACAGTTAGACAAGAGGCAGATTTTTTGACATCACCAGGCACTGCACAACACTCGTCTTGAGTAGTCTGGCCTTCAGTCTTTTCATCTGACTCCGAATCGGCGCCTATCTGAAACACAACCTTTGTCTGAGTCCTTGAATCATCAGTGTTGGTCTCCTCAGTGTATGGCACTGGGTCCGGACTGACCTTCTCCAACCAGTTCTCAACATATTGATGAATTTCAGAGAGTGAAGGTTTGAAAGAAGGTGTTGACAAACTCTCACTCAGCTCTAGAGACTTTTTAGGTGGTGATAATTTGTGTTCAGTCATAGACTTCGGCCTTGTCATTGTCTTTCTGGCAGGCAAAAGAGATTTTTTGGGTTGTAAAATGTCTGATATGTTTTTCTTCATTTGAGGCCTTGCAGTTGGAGAATTGACATTATGACCGTTATTTTTAGCAGCTGTTTTATCCATGTTTTGTCTTAGAGTTAGGTTCCTTCTCACACTAACAGCATTGACTATTAAGGCTTGCTCTTTCCTGGGGATCTGTCCTTCCTTAACAGTTTTCTTGAATTGAGGCTTCCCTGTTCCGTTACTCCTCTGAACATTTTGAACACTTTCTGATGAACTCAAACTCTTCTTTCCCATACTGGTGTTGCTGCTAAGCTTGTCTGTAGATGATTGGACTCCATTTTTTGAGGGACTTACTCTGCTTTCTTTTAGCTTTTTATCTGAACTGCTTGTTGAAGTCAAGCTTTTCAGATTCCTAGCAGGTTTAACAATCATTTTCTTTCTCTCAGTTTTAGGAGTTTTGACTTTTCTTCGGGCTTCATGCTTTGTCACCGAAGATGGATGATTTGTTATCTCTTGCGTTTGAGTTATTGGTTCGGATGACAATGATAACATCTCTTCTTTTTGTCTTCGTAGTGAGTCCCTAGTGGGTTGCTGACAGCTAAAATCTATATCACAATCATTGCTAGACGAAGGAGGTGCTGAGTCAAGGGAAGGTTTGCTGTCCAGCGCAGGTGTGGAAGAATATGAAGGTGCACCATCTGCACTATATTCCTCGTTAGCATAATAGTTGTCATAGCTGCCTTGACTCTCAAAAATATGCATTACAGTCTCTGTAACCTCCATCCCATTATTTTGTATCTGAAGAACCTCAGCTACTCCCGACGACCTGATGGAGGATTCATTGTTGATTGTCCCTACAGATGGCGTTTTGCGTGGCTTTGGGATCGGCCTGTTGCTGCTGCTGTGTCTGACAACGCGGTATCCCTCAGTCTTCTTACCACCAGCTGTTCTCTCCATATAGGAATAATGTCCCAGAGTACTCTCTTGAACCCCCGACTCTGTCACCATCTTTACACTCTCAACCGACGCCCTTTTAACCTGTTGAGCACCTGGTGTAGGACTGCGTTTGAATGCTGTTTTTGCTATACCCGTCACTCGGTCTTCGTTAAACTTGACACCCTTTCCACCCGCAGCGGGATGGTTCCCCTCTTTCAATTCATCTCCACTGATGCTTGAGGAGTTTTTGGCAACGGCATTGTTTGAGTCAGTAGAGCTCTTGCGCGACTCAGATATTGAGGCACAGACTGTCCTCTTGCTAAGGCTAGTGCGGCTGAGTGTGGTAGTCCAGTGGAGCATCTCCTCCTCTTTGACAGTCAGACGGACCTTCATCTCCACAGTCATGCTGCCATCTTGATTTACACGGAAAGACTTTTCTATGTCATCATCCTGAGGTACAATGGATGCATGTTGCTCATTGTTTACCATCCCAGTTTCACCCGTCTCAAAGGATCTGTGTTGATGGTTGGCCTCAGTTTCGAATGATCTGTTTCTTCGTTGTAGATGGCTGTTTGTGCTTCCACTTCGAGACTTGTTTATTTGGTTGACAATGTATCTCTCAGATGATAAGGAAAAATTCCTTGATCCTCTTCCGCTTGAGAAAGATTTGTTGTTCACTTTTGATGAAGGTGATTGTGACAGCCAGGGAAAGAAAAAGAGAGACAGAAACAATGAATGGCTTTAAAACTCTCTCAATTCCCATGGTTTGGTTGGTATAGAAAATAAATACTTTGAGGTTTTAGGAAATATTGTGAATAGCTTTCAAGCTGAGAGTAAGATGGTCATATTGTCACATGTCAAAGATAAAGCTACATCCAACCACTGATGCTTAACTTATCATAAAGGCTGGAAGCAGTAACCCAACAATTCACCAATGTACTGTATGTTGTGTCCATTTTGCTTTTGTGTGGTTATAACAAAGAAGGTGTAATGTGTTAATGAGATTAACAGAAGACACAAAGTATATTTTTTTGTCTTTTAACTTTAATTGTTGCACCAGTCAAAAGAGTGGTATTGATTTGCCTTTCAAGAAAATAAAAAACGTTTCCCAAAAATGCTGGACTATTGATGGAGGCAGTTATATTAGTCTGGGATAGAGGCAAAAAAAAATTACATCTCCAAATCTGAAAGGATTAAAGTTTAGCTCTTTGCCTGAGACAATATAGAACTAAGTGGAAAACACACTTATATCAAGTCATATCTGCAGTTTAAATGAACTTCCCCTGCAACAACAAATATGTAGTGAAACTGATCACCAGCTAAGATGTCTTTGAAAGTCCCTATAGGGCCGGACATGTTTCATGAACAAAGTCTGATCGAACACAGTACAATTACCTAAAGTCTGTTAATTAATTATCTTCTAACTTTTTTTTCATTTGCATTTTCTGACTGTACATTCCCATGAGAAAAAGAGGACCACATGGAAACTTTACAGTATCACTATAACCATAATGTATTAAATTAACAGCATTACTCATGAATACTTACAAGCTCTGGGCTGTAACATAGATGGTTCCACAGTATCCATGTACGTTGCTTGTGCCATTTGGCCCACTCTGTGGGAGGAGTAGTTTCCTAATCTGAATGGCTCGTTTCCCGCCGCCACAACAACTCCAGAACAAAGGATAAGTGCTGCAAGACCATCAACCTGAAAAAGGAGCAGAAACAGTTTTTAACTTTTAATTCATTTCATGTTATGCACTGCTACATACCTGTAAACTCAAAGAAGACTTTCAGTTGGAAGTATCAAATATTAAAGGGACACTTGACTTTACCTGGGCAACGTATTATCCCAAAACCAATCAGATAAAGCATTTGAAAGGCAGTTCTATGGGAAATGAGATCTTGGCTCTTAGAATACTTAAACTAAGTCCAGTAACAGTGTATGAGCCTTTTTTCTTATTTCTGTTAAACTTGTTAATATGAACATTTACTGTAAAAGTTATGTATTCTAGATGTTCAATTTTGGCTTCTTTAATTAAATATATTTCATATAACAATGAAAAAGGAGATCTGTAGTTACCATAATCATATTTTTTTGGGGGGGGTGATTGGCTGAGTTCAAATCCAAATTCACTTTATACCTATTTAGACTACAATGATTCCACCAAAGTGTTTTCAGTTCCATAAAGAGTTGTGTCTATCTATAAATCTTAATTTTGAGGCCAATATAAACAATTATCCTTAAGGGCTCAGGATAATGTAAAATTTTAAGATTTAATAGCCCATGATAGCTGAGATTCAATCCAAACCCCATAAACTGGCGCTTGTTGTTTTCAAGACCAAGTAATTGTCAAAAAGTGGACAAATGGTCCACCAACAAGTTTCCTCAGCGTCAGAGGCCTATCCAATTTGTGTGACCCAGACGTACCTTTACTTAAGTATCCCTGGATAGAAAGTTAATTCAGGGACAACAGCAGAGGTGCCATGGATTCGCCCGGCAAGGTGCCAATTGAAAGGTCACAAAAACATTTCCTAGTATGGAATTTTTCAACAAACAGTTAAATAAAATGTACTTTTTTACTGCGTTTTGACTTGCAAATTGTGTTGAGAAAGTTTTTTTGGGTATTCTTTTTTTTTTGTTGACTATCTATTCCCATCCTATCAAACACCAAAAATGACCATTATCTGAATGGCTACTGACCAGTAAAACAATCGCAGACATTGTGTCTTTATTGTCCAACTAACAAAAAAAAGATTGTGGTCCTGAACACATTTCTCCATTTCTTCATGATTGTGCTAATTTTTTATGACTTTCAATTTTTATTTTCCGAAAAACAAATCAGCGATAACATATGGTATACATCTGTTTTTTACAAATACCCTCTACCCCACCCCCATCCACACACAGAACTGTAACACAGAGGGGTCAGCAGGTGTGATTGTGCTAATTTAAAAACATGGCATGGGTAAGGCAAATAAGGATGACCGTAAATGCATCTTGTTAATACACCGCCTCTTTGAGTGGTCAAATTACATGATATGGGTTTGATTCCAAAAACCAGGCCACTTATTGTGTTTCAACTGGATCAAGCATAGGCCACTCTGAACATCGGTTTCACTTTAAGTTAAAACAAATAGATGTTGCGTCAAGTTGCATTTTTTGCTAACACCAAGAATGATACAACCACCAGTTCAACATAAAACTTGAGCCATGCCCAGCTAGTTAGCCTAGCTGCTGGCTATTAGCTTAACCAAAATAACTAATTGATGTTTAACATAGGGTGTTGTCCATAGTCCTATTCAGCCATTTCAAGGTGCAATATTTATGTCCCCGTGATGTTTCACCATCAATATAAATGTCACAGATGAATATTAGTTGGTAGTAACAGAGGCGTAACAGGGGCGAGACGGGATCAGCTGAGCCAGCTGGACAGCACAGCGCTGTGTGTGCATGTGGAGCTCCCGCTGTGTCTAGCTTCTGCAATGCTGAAACATAATGTGAAATCAGACTGGGACACCAATATGGCATGGTTGCAGAATCAATATGAATGTACAAAAACTTAATTGTGGCTGAGCTTAGTTATGCCACTTTTGCAGAAACACAGAATAAAAAGGGCTCATGAGTATAGTTTCCATTCTTTATGCAAAGCTAAGCTAACCAGCTGTTTGTCACCTGACTATCAGCAAGGAAGCGCACAACTTAATTTTTCATTACAACGTATAAAAAAAAAAAGAAGCTGTTTCGATTATTTTCAGGAACACAATACTTACTCTTCTGCCATCTGTAGAGAAGAGTTTCAGCACTGGGAACTGCAGGATCTGGGAGAGGTAATCCAGTAAAGCGTCAAATGTTGGTGCTGTTCTTCTCTGCAGCACAATTGTGCGTTTAACAGCGGGATCTCTATTCTTGATGACCTCAAGCCTCTTTGGTGTCCTTACTGCCGCCCTCTCCGTGACCCTTGTTGGCCTGTTGGCCACTTCATTCACTCTGAGAACCTGACCAAACTGGAGTCTTTGAAGCTTTCGTCGCCCTGCGCTGAAGGGTCTGGTGGTGTTCCATGGTACCTGCCGTCGGTTCACATCATCCAAGTTTAATGGCTTCACCCGTCTCTGGTCGGAACAAACATATGATCCCCCATCATGTAAGTCCTCTAAGGCTTTAACAAGGTTGGTGCCACGAGGTGTGGTAATGGTTCTAACTCCGAATGGCAGAGGCACTTTCTTTGACAGAGCATCTAGTAGAGCATCAAATGTCTTGAAGGTGCGGGCATTGATGACCATGCGATGCCCGCTGAATGTATAGTCGCCACTCTTGTAGAAACATACTCTTTTAGAAGCCGAGGGATCTGAGATTGGCTGGAAGGGTCGTGAGGGTAACGTCTGTTCACTGTCAAGGGACAGTGCCTGGGCCGGGGGCTCCTGGACCGGTGTGTTGCTCATATTGCCCTGAGCTTTCTGGAAAGAAAGTAGAGTGAGGGAAAAAGCTTATTTGTATAATATTGATCAGTTGTCTTGTCATCACTACATAGTCTAAACACCTGACTTCTTTATTACATGGCTGGAAACAAGGCACACTACCTCCCCACGCAGAGCTATTCTGGTGTGCCAAATGGAGCTGGTTGTCATGAATTCTCACTGTAGATTCATTTCATGTTTGATTTTAGGCTGAAAACAGTCCCTGTTCCCTCTCAATCAGGGTTTACTTGATCTCACAATGCAGGTAACGTTGATAATGATGATAAAAATGTAAAAGGATGTCTATCTTTTTTCTAGTGCCATGTGCACAGTGAAATATAACTGTGTTTCACTAAATGCTAGTCCAATTTTTAAATAACGCAATTTGGTGTAGTCAAAATATACAAAATGGTGTGCTTAATACTTATCTTGGTGAATCTTTAAAACAAAATGTACATTCTCCATTTGTTTACAAATAGAAGGAACCTTGACCTTTCACCACTCTTTGGGAAGTTATTGTTGGCATTTGTCTTGTTGCAATTTTATTATTATTAGCCATAAACATTAAAATGCATCTTTATGGCACCACTGGCTCAGTACAATTGTTACTGAAGTAATCCCAGCACTTTGCCCTTTCCTCATTGCTGATTTCTTTGACATTTTCTCTGTTCAAAAATAAACTTTTACTGCACATCAAGATGAAGACGAAGATCCTACAAGCTTTTCTTTAAGAGGTTCAATGAATCACTTTGAGCAGCCCTTGGACAAAAGGGATTTTGTTTAACTTAGTTTAACTATGGTTGTGTGGCTTTGTAATGCAATGTGAGTGTTTTCTCCCAGATGCATAGACAAATCATTAAAATAGGTGGCTACACATTAAGCTATTTTATTGTCAGCTCAAAGGGAGACACATTCAACACATGCCAACTCTGTTATTGGGAATTAGGCTGACTGGAATCATGCATAAGGTCACTGCTCATTACATTTATTCTTGTACATAACATATTCCACTTCTATAGTTTAGTACATAAATGATTATATATAATAATTGTAGTGCTGTCATGCACACATAGTTCTTGTGCAGTATGGTAGTTCTTCTGTTTAACTTTTTTTATTTATTTATCCAATGCTCGACACTGGTGTAGTTTAGTTTGTAGTAATAAAGCAAGCCACAATATAGTGTAGTGATGAAGCACAAAGGCTCTGTTGCTTGTTTAGCCTGTTATAGAGGTTTCAATGGACGTACAATACTCTGGAATACAATGTGTTTTTCTTTTAAACACTACAATGTTTTGAATCTGATTTTTCTTAATTATTGATTAAACATTAACCCACATTGAAAGTGGAAACAACATATCAGGTCTAACTACATGAAGACTTCTGGACATGTAGACAAACACACACCTTAAACAAACAAACTGATTAGAAAAACTACAGCCTAAAGGTGCCTCAAAAATAGCTAACTGTTAAACTAACATGTGAACAGAAATGTAATGAGCAAGACTTACTGTATTCCTCACATTTCCCCTTTATTATAAAGGCAAAAACAACAAAAGCAGAGTCCGTTATTCTACCGAGCGGTGTTCAAAGCCTCTCAGCAGCACTCCAGGGCTATTTTGGGACGGGCAACATCCTGACTAATTTGCTTAATCTTTGCTCACACTTAATCAGCATATCAAGGTAGGGTAACCAATGGAAGTAACACAAGAGGCCAACTGCAGCTGTCTGGAAATGTCTTTTTCAATCATAATGGAATTCAACAACAAAATCAATGGCCATGTATTTTTTACTTTTATTTTAATTAAAAGTATTACTTCTTAGTATCTGAAAAGTTCAATGAAAATATGAAAACTTATGAAACTCTTTATTATTTGTTCTAATTACTTTGCTATACAATTTTGGACTTTTTATTTGCACTTAAAAAGACAAAGTTAGAAAGAAACTGACTGGGTAAATAAAATGAATGAATGGCTTAGTGTGTACCAGAATAAATTAGTTTCCGAGAAGGGGACTGGAAAAGGTCATGAAGAGAGCATGTGTGGAAACTCCAGGTCGATGATATTTCCTGTTACTGTGATGAATGTATACCTATACATTCACAGGTGGCTAGAACTGTTTCCAATTTGTAAGCAGCCTGCATAATCTGATTTGAGAAGTCTTTGCCTAATAAGGATTAGGTGAAAGATTTTGCGCACTTGCTGACAGCATCGGGCAGAAAAGGGTCTTAAGAGGGCACTTTTACCTCACAGCAGGTATTGGATATATGCCATTACATTTCAGAAAAAAACAGTGCATCACTATTTTACCTGTTTAACAACCGTTTAGATTTCATCAATGATAAATGTGACAATATATATCATATATATTTATCAATACTGCACCTTTGTTTCCAAACTCTGTACATTTAATTGTTTATACCATGCAGTAATATTAAATGTTCTTCAGTGATTAATGATTTAATTGCATCACGGGGTGAAAGCTGTGTCACTGTACTCCGGCTATCAGAGAGAGAGAGAGAGAGAGAGAGAGAGTTCCAATTATTATTTGCCTCTTACTGTGTAAAAGCAGCTAATGCTTCCCACAAGCACGTGCAGTGTCCTGGAATACTTAAACTAGGGGAGGGGGGGCTGTGTAGGTCAAACAAAGTCCAGTTTAAGGAGAATTCAAGCTACCTTGTGTTGAAAGTGTGGTCAAGCAAATAAAAAAATGTATACTTTGGCCATTTGTTATTACAGACCTGTGGAGAAAAATATGTCTTTGATTTTTTTCTTGGACATCATGTAATAACAGTAATAATAATTTAAGTAGGGTGAAAACTGAAGAGAGGGATTCCATTTTTTGTTCAGATAAATTATTAAAAAGATTTGCAGGCCTTGCCTTACTCTCTTGGTGGTAATGTCAGCACCTGATCTGTTTGGATTAGTAAGATCCAACTAAGCGAGTCAATCAGTCTGACATGAACAGTCAACAGTGTACCACCGTCATGGCTCAGATGCCTATACTGTTATTCAAGGGTCAAAGGCTTGCTCTGTGCAACAGACAAGAATTCATCAAAGCCAAGTTTTTCATCTCTTTTTGCTTACGCCCAGTAAATAAAATATTTTCCACTTCTGATCTGTCATCAGCCGTTGTCCGTAGTAGCTTGTAAACATGAGAGGTTTCCCTTCCTGTTTTATCTGCAAAACTTATTGTGGCCTTTGGTAGAAAATTAATCTGGTCATTATCAAAGAAAATATATGATTTAGTTTTTAGAAATGTTTGTTGAAGCAATGTTTTTTTTCTGTTTAAATATCTGGATATATTTGTTGAATGTTTATTTTTGTTTTTCAGATGTATCTGCAAGCCCTTGTTTTACAAATGAACCTATAATATTTCTAAAACTTTAGTAATGCGATGTCCAATCACATTTATCCGTTAAAGTTTACATCCTACAATAGCATGTTTTAGGAAAGATCCAAAGAGATGGTAACATTTGTGTGTTTTTGTTTTACTTATTACTTATTGTTACAATGTTATAATTCACTTAGCAGACGCTTTTATCCAAAGTGACGTACATCAGAGAGTGAGTACAACACTAATCCATTCATACACCGCCACTGAAGCATTTTACATTATCTTATTTATCTTATTTTTACCTTATTTTATTTGATCTATTTTACCTTATTTTATTTGATCTATTTTACCTTATCTTATTTATCTTATTTTTACCTTATTTTATTTTATCTATTTTACCTTATTTTATTTTATCTATTTTACCTTATTTTGGTTGTATTGGACCGTGGGACGGAGACAAACGCATTTTGATTCCACTCTATGTCTGGCATATTTTGAAATTGACAATAAAGTTGACTTTGACTTTGAAAATAATTTAAAGTTGAATCTAATATAAATGTGTTGCCATTACATTTTGCTGTCACTTTAACAATCAACGCACCATTTTAGGTCCAGATACAGATACATAGCATTTTAAACTTTGTCAGAATTTCTGCTGAACGTGAAAAACACGAGTACACAAAGACAATTTGTAAACAGTCCTTGTGGACCCAAGAGGTGCTTAAGTTGCACTTTGGCGCTATCTAACGACATGTATTGATATGGCAAAATGCAGGCTCGCATAGGTAGCAGGACAGGTGTTTGTGCGGAACTACTGAAAATATGGAGTTATCTCTATGCATTAAAAAAAAAAAATGTTACTTTTATTCTGAGAAAAGTTGTACATTGTGCATACTCGCTCACTGTGCCGTCTCGATTATTTCACCTGAACGCATCACGCATCGATTCGTCAGGTCTGCTACACAGCGGAGTGAGCGGCCCCGGTCCGTCAAGTAGACGCCGCCGCTCTCTCTCTTCTGGTGGCGTGGTGTTTGGGGGTCTTTGTCGCGAATTGTTTCTCTCCTTTTTTTTGGTTCCTAATTAGCGGATTCCGTAGGGATCAGTCAACATGGGGAAAAAAGAGGAAGAGGAGATCATCAGAATTGCAAAGAAGATGGATAAAATGGCGCAGAAGAAGAATGGGGTGAGATGTGTTGAGAAAGAATGAAGCGCTTACCTGCAGCTTGTTGACGTTTAGCTAATGTTGGCGCTAATGGGATGTCAATGTGGATTCTAACCTTTATGAGACATTCTCCTTTCAGTTATTGTCAGTGCAATATTGCATCGTTGTGCCACTTCACCAGAGGACGTGTTAGACATTAAAATTGCACCATTAACTCCAAACATTTGGTCCCACGGCTGCTGTTGTACCTGTGGCTAACAGGCTAGCCTCAAACAGCTAGCTTCCATGTCAGCTGAAGTCCTGTGCGTTGACAGTAGTTAGCCATGTAAGCGGTCCACTGTTGTTTTACTGGCGTTTGTGTCTCACAACACGTTTTCCTGCTGGATCCGGTCGTTTTAAGGTTACCGAAATTAATTTGCATGATAAATAAAGTCGGAGGTGAAACAAAAGCAAAGTGAAACCTCGTTGTGGTGATGTTCAAACCGGCTTA